GCCATCAACAAACTGAAGGAGATGAACATGAACTGGATCTCTCCTGACAGAAGCATCAACATCTTCCACTGTATGATGGAGATGAACGACCACTCAGTAAATCAGGAGATCCAAGAGTTCCTGAAGTCAGAGAACAGATCAGAGAAGAACTCTCTGAGATCCACTGCTCAGCTCTGGCCTACATGCTGCAGATGTCAGGAGGGTTCTGGATGAGTTGGACTTGAAGAAGTACAACACATCAGACCAGGGACGACAGAGACTGATTCCAGCTGTGAGGAACTGCAGAAAGTTTCGGTAAGTCCAGATGTGATTATCAACACTGTAAAGCGACGTAAAGCTGAAGCATCAGTATTGCAGTAAAGATACACACTTTACACACTCGCCAATATAAAACCTCCACACTAAAAGTTTGCTAAACTAGTATTAAAGCTGCTTATTGAAATAATTCTACATGTGTTAAACTCCAAATGTCTCCAAACATCATTTTCTGTGTTTCTATCCATCAAGTTAGTGACACAAGTATCTTCTATCATCTTCTATCTTCTTCCAGCAGGAAAACTTGAGGATTAAGAGTTTGTGCTGAAAATGTTTTGACAGTCATCATTTTATCCCAGCAGTCTTTTTATTTTTCCATTGATCCAGTGTCTGCACTCTGTTCTATACTGTGTGTTTTTCTTCTTCTATACAGACACACAGACATGTCGTATCTGTGATCTGCTGGAGCTAACGGCACTTGAAGCTTTCATGCAGTTATTGCTCTTCCATTTCAGAACTGAACTGAACGTGGAAAAACTTGCATGGTTTGTCCTTGAGCCAGAAGCTTACCAGAAGCTAAGGGATGAGTTCCATAACACTCCGAATCCATTGTGAAACTGTGGGACAGAGTCTGAGATCCACTGAAGAAGAATACATCTCCTTTCATTAACAGCAGCACCTTAAGCAACCTCAGCAAGGAGGGGTTACCGTTTAAAGCTGCATATTGTATTCCTAGGACACAAAAAATAGGTTCTAGGGCCAGTTTCCCTTGAATATAATAAATTTTTACAAACTTGAGTCCAAAAGTCACTAACAGAGAGCATCCAAAAATACAGTGAAGTATGTACCTCAACAATTTACTTATTACAGTATTTTGAGAGCAGAGGATTAAACTTATTACGTTTCACAGGAGTAATCTGAAGCCTGTGTATGATCCTAAACTGCAGTTTCCTAACTTTGTTGGAAAAAAGGCAA